CTCAGGGCAATTTTGAGAGTGACCCACTCTGAGATTTGCTAAAAAGAAATCAGAGACTTCTTTGTGATTTTATGGAAACATAAAAATTTCCAGTGACACAACCTCTATTTTTGTGCCTGGACATTGAGGGAATCCCTCCGTAGCTGAGCTAATCTTTCCTGGTATGCACATTTCTGGCTAGACCCATGTGTGTACAGATACCTACTAACATTAGAACTGGAGCTGAGTCTTTATGCTGAGCCTTCAAGACAAATTTAGTCAAGAAAGCAAGTGTGTGAGATTTTTGTGGTGCTTAAATAGTTTGCAGGATGCCTTTGCTCTAAAAGTACTTTTTCATTAATTTTTTTTCAATAAGTTGGATCCAGCCACCCACTGTAGTTCTGAAGTTGGTCTGTTTATTCATTGTATTTATTGAGGCCTGGTGCTGTTTGGAATAGTTGAAGGTTTGGCTCTCTAAGTGTAAGCCTAACCAGCATTTGTACTTCATAAATTTTAAAGCCAAGAAAAAAAAGGCATTGTGCTCATGTGGTCTTTCCAAAGACAGAGCACGCACTTTACCTAATTCTTATGCTCGAATCCAGTCTCTTTAGCTGAATTTAGACTTCTTTTAGGAAAAATGAAAAGCCTACCTTAAACTAAATTTTTCAGTGAAATACTCCACCAGAGCTGATTGATAGACTATTGTAATGGATAATTGCCCTTAATGATAATAATTACCCTATTTCTAATCTAAATATGCTTAGTCTCCACTTGTAGTGGAGTACATTCCTGAGTAATTTACAAACTCTACCAGTATCCATCACCCTATTTTGGGGGGAAGGGGGGAGTCACTGCTAAAAAACGCATTCTCTCAGCAGTGTCTCTCCATTTACAGTTAGATTTTGAGACGTACCAGTGCATTGGCTTTTAACTCAATTTATGTGTGCCGCATTTACTGTGTAGCTTTACAGTTTCATAACCCCAAGATCATGCGGAATTAAGTCGAATGTCATAGCACAGTCTAAAGTTATCACACCAGCACTAATACATCTATTTACCAAACCAGTAATCTCCTCAGAAAATATCTAGTTAGTTTGACAAGATGTGTTTTCCTGAACCTATGCTGTTTAGCATCAATTATTTATTTTAATATTTTATTAATTGAATGAGATTTTCATTATTTTGGCAGGATTTGTCAGGATGACAGGCTGTGATTGCTTAGCTCACTCTGCTTATCTTCTTTAATATGTCATCACTTTCCTAACACTTTCCACCCAACAGTATGTTCAATGATGTGCAGAAGGGCTTAGGAGAAAAAGCACATTTTCGACAAGTTGTTTTGCACTGTGAAAATCACTTTCTCCATTCAGCTGATTTTGAGACTAGTGAAGAGCAGCCAGGAATGAGTCAAACCAGGAGGGAATCATGCTCTGAGCAGCTGAAACCGCTCTCGTGAGGCCGGCAATGGGTCCTGAGGGAGTAAACACCATGGCCGGGCTAGCCAACCCTCAGCTCTCAGTAGCCCCGCAGTGATGACGAAGGGAGTCCCTGTGCCTAGAGATGTCCTCCACTCCCCAAATACACTGCTGTGAATGACAGCAGTATGTGGCTTGTTTCTTTACGTGACAAGGGAAAGGATTCTGAAAAAAGGATTCTGATTTGGTTCTGAAAGCGTACACCTTTTGGGGGTTTATAATGGATTTGAAAGAGGTGGTACAAAGAAGGAGGCAACCATGAGAATTTAAATGTTTTCCTGCATTTCATCAAAGCTTTTGCAAGACAATGAAACAACTGGACATTGTCATTGTTACAGGTAGTGTGGGACATCTTCTGCTCAATGTTTACTATAATAATTTCAGTATTAGAGCAGGGTTTGGGACCCATGTCTTCCGTCTTCCACAGAGTGCCGAAGAAATGCGTTGCTATTCTATGCAAAGCGGCACAGCTGTGAGAGGGTGCTATAGGTGTTCTCACCCCAGGATAATTTCTGATCATTAAAGGCATGACACACGCGGGCTCAGCCCCTCGCAGGTGCAACCTGGTTTTTCTACACTGTGGGTGATGAGCTGGGGGCTGGGACCCAGGCACAGGAGGATGGAGAGCCTCCCCAGCCCTGGGCTGCCCCAGGGAGCAGAGCTGTGAGCCCCATCCTAGGGGGACGGAGACACCAATGCCTCCCTAACATCAAGAGCTTAGTGCGAAAGTCACCAAGAGGCACCTCTCTGAGGACATGGCACTTCCCAGGCACCTTGCTGGCTCTTTGGGGAGTTCCCCTCTCGGCTGACTTTCCCAGCTGCTGCTCGTAGGCACGCAGCGCGGCAGGCATGTGGAAGCATCCATGCGGGCCAGGCTTGGGCTTCCCATCAGCACAAGGGGATTAAAAGCAGTTCTGCTCTTCCTCAGAGGATAATTGTGAGGAGAAATGCATTAAGGACATAGAAATGCCACAGTAATGAGGGCTATGTGAATGCATACTGCGAAAGGCAGAAAACAGCACGCAGCCAGGAGCTTATTGGAAAAAGAGTGGACATTTCTAAGGAAAACAAGTACCTAGCACTGCAATAATACGGGGTAGACACAGAAACTACTTTTTAAAGCTGTATAAACCCACCAGCCACTAAGAAACAGGCTTTGATAGCTTCCAGTGTGATTTTTCGTGCTTCTTTCTGAGTGCCTGGTCTGGACCAGTGAGGAAGGGAACTGAGCCAGGTGGATTAGGGGTCACCTCCACATCAGGAATTCTTGTTTTCCTGTCATTAATAACAACATATAGGCTGTCAGGAATCATTTTCGCTATTCAGTCCCACATATACCTGCTTATTCTCCATGTAAAAATACTGTGATAAACCATCAAGGAGCATGTGGTGCACAGGCATGTAACAAGCCTTGCTTTATACCCTGTCGCTGCCATTTGTCAGTCTCGTGTTGTGCCAAGGAGCCACCCCGTCTCACCATCTCGGTTTGCTTTACGAATAGTTTTGTTGATCCCGCCTTGGAGGAAGAACAAGGACAAGATAAGGATGGCCTTACTTGCCCCACTTTTTATGATCTCATCTAATTTTACATGGCATCTGCTGATGCATATGTTTCTTCTGATTTCACTGCAACCTTTTGTGTTTGCCAGGGCAACACCAGAAGAGTGGAGTTGGCCCTGAGACTGCCTGCTCTTTCATGCAAACATTTTGTCATCTTTGAAATGCCCTCTGTTCTGGAATCTTAGAAAATAACAATATTGAAAACTTTCAGAAAATATTAGAAACATTAAAAACATTAGCTCTATCACAACACAATAAATAGTTCCATCACCCACTGAAAACTGACTTCTGCAGCTGACAACATAGTAATAAAGTAGAAATTCAGTTGCTGAGATAGGCTGGGAGTGGACACATTGTCAAAAGAGGAGCCAGGAACCATAAGTTTTTCAAAACACTTAATTTTTCAGCTTTATTTTTCTCTCCCATAGGAAAAAAAACCCCCACAAAAAAACCCACAAAAAACCTACCCTCACAGTCACTATATGTACAATAAATTGAAGGCGATATTTGCTAGACAAGTATGATCAGAGTGATAGCACGTGTTGAATGCTGATGCGTGTGAGAAAGATAGGAACTCATGCGGCACCAAATGCTGAACTGCCTATGAATTATCAAGCTGTTGGCTTTATTATTTTGATTGCTTCTTATCGTTCTTTACCTAGCCTTTTTCTAAGGTGCTCCTGCAGATTTCTCTGGTCAATGTTGCCAATTCTTCTATAGATCATGCAACTGGAAAAAAAATCTTTTCTCAGTAATTGTGTACTTCAGGATTTTACCTAAGGAGTGTTAAACCTAAGAGTATGTGTATGTCTTTTCCTAATCAAACACAGGAGGCACAGGGGATGTCAGTTCACAATAAATGATGCAGGTGTGATGACATATTTTAACTTGTGCACCTATTTGTGATGTGTATAACAGGAAGTTCAGAATTTAGGAGGTATCAGATCAAGTAATTAGACTAAAAAAAAAAAAAGCCTTTTGCTATATTTAATTCTCTCCCCTCCTTAACTGGAAATGTAGATTTAGACAGTCCCATTGATGGATTCATTATTAAACTTCATTTAGGGTGACCCAAATTCTCATGGAGTTTATGTGGTTGCATACGCTGAGTTAAGGGTCTCTTCCCCCCTCTGCAATACACTGGTAGTGCTCATGCCATTGTCTGTTGCTCACCATCCTTCAGGAAATAAGTGTCCCCTCAGAGCATGGGAAAAGGGCTGAAGGCCCTTTCCTTCCGTGGGCCTGAAGGAAAAGATTTCAACTAAGTGCCACCAGTATTACTCTTGATGCAAAATATTGCTTGTTTTGAGTGGTACTTAAAAAGACAATTCTAGCCCTAAATTGAATAAGAAAAATCTAATAATAATTGCTTATATTTTCATGGGTTAACATTTCTTAATGTTGACATTTCTTAACTATTGGACATACAATTCAAAGACAATGTAACGGGAAAGAAGCTTGTCAACTGTAGTCCTCTAAAAGCAGTTAATAAATGTAACAGAATTCCTGTTCTTTTAAAACAAATCCCCGTTCCTTGCTCCAAGGTTACAAGGATAGCAGCTGCAATACTGATTGGTAGGCACTGCTGCGGCTCCCTGATAAACCTCCCCTAATGGGGTTTGAAAGCCTACCCTTATCAGCGTAACATCTCTCTCTCAAACTAAATCTGATGCGGCAGGAGATGGCAAATGCAGAGGGAGGAGAGGTTTCCCACGGGTAGCAGAGCTGAGCCCTTCTCCTTCGTGCTGAGCGTGTGGACAGCACTGACACAGAGAACCTGGTCATCTGGGGACCACGATAAGAAATATCTAGTACCAAACTAGTTGATTGCTTGGAAAAAAAAAGGGTCCTAAATGTAAAATATCCTCTTTGTATGTATGTATCTGTGACCCGGGCATAGTGCTATTGCATGGGTGACTGAAGCGTATCTGATTATACACTGCTTATTTGGGAGAACTCATGTATTTTTCCACACTCTTTTTACAGCTCCCAAGTCTACCTTTTGTCCCACTGAAGAGACCTGGTGGCCAGGCCTGGTTATTATCATTGCAGTATGCTGTGCCACACTAGTGTTCCTCTTTGTAGTTGTCATCATTTGCTACAAAGCCATAAAAAGGTAAGATTCCAAATGCTTTTACTGTGCTGAGGGCAATGCAAACCCACAAAGGTTGACCCAAGACTTGGCTGACACCTTGTTTTGTTTAAAGGCATCCTAAAGGCAAAATGCATCCTGTAGTCAATGTGTGTTTTCATTGGCAAGTCACTGTATGTACTGTATCCGACCTGTGTAAAGGATGAAGTTTAATGCACAGTCATGGGCATGAGGAGGAGAAAAACTAGAATGGGACAGGGCCACAATGTTCAGATTAATATGAACTCCACAAAGTCAAATTGCTGCAGGTTGTCGGGGAATGTCGATAGCTTTGGCTTGGCCCGGTGTAAAGGCAGGAAACACCATCATACCCAGTTTTGGCAGTATTCAAAATTTACATGTGGGATGTGAGATTTTTGGCCCAGGGCCATCACTAGTTGTAGCATTTCAGATTGATGCAAGTTCTTATAACCCAAACTCTAGGGTAATTTGTGTAGTTTTTTATTTGGAGACTCTACTTCTAATTTATTCTTGCTTTAAAATTATCATCTGAAGAATCCATTTCAAAACCTGTCTCTTTTAATTTAAAAGCCTATGTGAAGCCTATGTATAACACAGTGTGTAGTAGCCATTTCAGCTCCCCTACCACTGTCCTTGCAATAGATATGCTTGCATAGGCCTCCAGTAGTTAGAAATTACTGACTTCAGTTACACAGAAAAATGGGAGTGGGAATAATTTCTTCACCTAAACAATATTTCATATTTTGAGTGGAAAAAGTCAAAATCCATAACTCTCGTGAGTTACTGCAGTGACACCTGAATCACAGTTTGGATTAAATGATGTTTATTCAGCTTTGGGATTTTTTTTGGGGGGGGGGAAGAAAAGAAAATACCTTTCATGAAAAATGTTATCTGCATGCAAAGCAACTGCAAGATTTTTGATGAGCCTCAGCAGGGATATCACAATGGTGGAGCATTGCACGTGCTTTGTGGTTGTCTGAAAAATTTATGCAGGATTTGAGGGATAGTATATCCCAGAGCATCAAAAAGGGAGAATTCAAACAAGAAGACAGAAGTCTGTATCTAATTTCTTATTAAATTTGCATAAGTATCTCTGCTATTCTAGTTTAGCTAAAATGAATACTTAATAGTTTTGAGGAGTTGGAAGGCTTTCACTCTATCTACTGAACTTCTTAAAAATCATCTATGGACGACTGAAATTGGAGCTGAATTGGATTGGTAACACACTGCAAAATTTCTTACCTGTAGTTCCTAATCTACCATTGGCTGTTCATAGGTGATTGGTCCAATTCCATGTGGAAAGTCGTATTTGTTTCAAAAACAGCTATTGTATTTGCCTGCCTAGTGCCAAATTGTGAATGATTTCTGCCAAGGCTGCAAAATATACCTACAGGAGCAGTAACTCTCCAGGGCAACTTGTGCCTAGCAAAGAATTGCTTTTCAAATCTGCTCTAATGCTGGTAGATGGGAGGTACAGAAAAGAAATTTAAACAGACAAATTTAGAGCTGCCTTGAAAAGGCTGTGGGAATTCACATAACAAAGTCTTATGCTTCTTGTCAGTGAAGAATAATACAGATACTTGATGAAGACACCCATTATTTGTCAACAGTGTGAATATCAACATACAAGTCAGCCGCTTGAACAGGCATTAGGCTCAGAGAAAAGTGAAAATTCCTCTTAGATCTCCTTATTGTTGACATTCACACTGCTGACAAATGCTAAGCTGAAAACCACTCAGATGTGGGACAGACAGCTATAAAAGAAAATCTTATTAATTATATTTTTACAGAGTAACTAGAGCATTTCTTTTCATCAATGAGTCCTTCCTAAAACAGTCTGTTAAAAGGATGCCCTAAAGTGCCTGGCAACATTCCTCAGTAGTTCAGGTTCCTTGATCCACTGTAAAAGATATCTATTGATAAATGCTGGAAAATAAAACGTTCCACAAGAGAAGCATCTCTGCCTTCGACACAGAGTATTATCCTGTATTGTTTAGCTGAATTGGCTTTAGCTAGTGTGAGAAATCCTTCACTCTATTTTTTGCTGGGAGGTAGAGGTGGCTGGGGGAAGAATGAGGGGATTAATCTGGATGATGCTAAAGCCAAGTCCCTTCAGTGTGTTCCCAGCCTCCGGCTCCATAACCGTGCTCTGCCCCGTCCTTTCTCACACCTCCATCCCACCATCTCTCCTCTGCAGTACTCCTCCTGAGCCCTCATTCCTGTGCATCTCCTGGAATTGGGACCTCTGTCATTGCATCTCCAACAAATGTGTCTCCCACCTCCAAGGCAGTATGTTGTCTGCTTACTTAAAATATACCCGTCCCCTTTAGATGTGACTGCCACCCACTCATCCTCCAGCTGCATCTAGGTTGGGTTGTAACCTTGATATAGCACAACCCTCTTCATCCAAGGAAAGGTACGCGCTGATTGCCTTGATATAGAAATCAGAACCCAGCCTGAAGACCTCACCTTTGCCTGCCACAACTCTTTCTTAGCTCTGGGTGATGATAGCCTTGTGTCTCACCTTTCCTTCTTGCACCACGTCAGGCATGAGGGCAGGTTTCAGAGGTGTCCCAGCCTCAGTTCCCTGCTGTCATGTAGCTGGTCACGGTGCGGGGGGGGGCCAGGAAAGTGGCAAAGTATGCTGAGGACGGGACTGTTTACAGTGCCCATCACAAACTGACCCTCGAAGACCTCTCCTGCTCAGTTTCCTCTCTCTGAAACAGGTATCAAAGCATTTGCCTACATCTCAGGGGTGTCACTAAGATTCGTCACCTACTTTCTGATGAGCAGTGTAAATGTGAAAGTGGCAAGAATTATTATCCAAACATACGCTCCCTAAAACCTTACATGAGTGTCACCCTCCAGTATTTTTAGACAGGAATTTTTTTACCACTTCCTGGGGGAGCAAGGGAAGGAGGTCCATGTCTTCGCATTTGGAAACCCTCATTCTGATTAGAGCCTGGGGTGCGACAAAAACTGGAAGTGCCAGTAAGCATGAAAACTGGCTTGGCAGCAGCAGATGGCTTCTATCTTTTTTTGGTGCAACAGGAAAAACATTTAAAAATTCTCACCAGCCCATCAGCTAAAAAAGAGGTAAACCAAAATAAAAATACCAAGTATCTACTGAACATGAGCTCAGATCGGATGATAGTACCAGTTTTACCCATGGATAGATGTATCCTATGTATACATCTGTCTATATCCTATGTATCCTATCTATAGTAGATCCCATGTATCTACTATAGTAGACATATATGGTATGTATCTCCTAGTGACAAATCCAGAAGTATTACAGGAGAGTATTGCAAAAGCCTAACTGGAATAACTTGATTTCTCTGCTTGTTAGTCTTCCAATTGAAGTGGGGTTTACAGCCTGACCATTAATGCTATCTATATCCTATTTAGCCTAAAGCATACGGCTCAGCTTAATTAGCAGTGTAAGCACTGAAGAGATGCTGAAGAGTGAAATAACAGCAATCATCTGGTTGTAGGGTGTAACAAGAGTTAAATGTTTTAGTAGGAAAGTGCAGGCAGAGATTTATTTGCACAGACCTTGTCTCTGTTGTATTAATCCCTCACTTTCATAAGAATCAAATTTGAAGTAGAAAGAAAAAGAAAAATCCTATTGTGCTTAAGTTAAAATCTCATTTACTGGTTTCAAAGGGCCAGACCCAATCAAACTCTCTCACGTCTTCTTTTCTGTAGCAGGAAGAGAGGGAGTGACTGTCCTCGAGGTATCGTAACTCAACTGTATTTTTATTCAATCTGTATAAAAACTGTTTCTTCTGGGGTGATTTGTTTTCCTTCATAAAAGCTAAAACTTTAGCATATCACCAATTTTAGGCACTAAGATTTTTGTGATAAAATACAACCTAGTGAACTGGTGCTTCTTTGTATAAAATAACTACCAGAACCAAGCCAGCATGCTGCTACCTCCGTCCCTGCATCTCCCCTGGAAATACTCAGGTTCTCCCCATATGAAATGGTCATAAGAAATGCTGAAATCCATTCCAGTGGATGGATTTGACCTCTCTGGTCGATGAGGGAACTAATAACAAAATGTGTCAGCCAGCTTTAATACTCGGAGAACGGCTAAACTCTTGGGACGATACATATGGGGCAATTCTTCGAAGGCTTTTAGAGCAGCCTCTAAATTTCCTATGTGTGATGCTGGTGTCTGCAGTGTTGGGCACTGCATGACTGGCACACCATGTACAGATGTGTGCTACACACCTGCATAGATCAAGAACCAGAGGAGATCGCATGTGATATTGTGTTGTGCTGCAGCATGGTTACACACATGGTGATAGCACCCTCACTTTGGCAGTGGGGGAACAGCTATTGTCTCTGGTCTTGGTGACAGAGGGATATTTTCTCTTTTAAAAAATGTGAATTTTCTCTTAAGAAACTTTTCTAAGGCACATTAGAAAAAATTTAAGGATTTGCACTTAGTGCCAGCAGCAATCACAGTCTGTAACATTTGTAGATTTCTAGGACAGGTTTAATCACTCACTGGCCAGGGCTCAGGCCCACTGTAAGCAGTGGGACTTTTCTGCTCATTTCATGGATAAGCAAAGTGATCTGACAACCAGCGATTTCTGTAACACATAGCAAGAGGAGACGAATAACTGGCTCAAAATCTGGAATACCTCCAGGTATTTCTCTACCACGTCTCTGTCTGTAAAAACCTTTTTTTTTAAGACTGTCACCAAGAAGTAAAAGCAGGAGGTCCAAGGACAATTCATAAACTAGCACAGGCTGGAGGAAGCTGGATCATTTCAGTATTACATGGTTTGTAGACTGGGCTTGGGCAAGTGCACCATGAATGCCAGCAGCTCTAACAAATCTTCATCTGGTAAAAAATCAGTGCGGATTCAAAAACAATCAGTGGAGCTCAATTCATTTTAATCAGCTCTGGAGGTGGCTGTCTCTTAAGCTTTTTTTGAACATCTCCAAGCTGAATAATAGTAAGACAGTAAGACTGGAGGGAAGTGGGAAGT